ATGCACAAATTCATGCACCGGGCCTCTAAAACTATATAATTTATAAGTTTTTATATTTATTTTCTTGCTCCCCCCTAGAATATAAGATCATGGGGGCAGGGTTTTTTCATCTTCTTTGCCCTCCTCTTTCTCCAGCTTCTGCCTCAATACATATTTGTTCAACAAATGGCCTTATCCCAAGGAGGGGGACAGAGGGCTGCTGCCATGATTCAACATAGTTTCACTCCAAACTTCCTGGCAGGCAAAGAGTTACGAAGCTCTCTTCATCTAATAACAGGAAATCAGACACTCCTGCAAAGGACAGAATCAGCAAAGATCCTCCTTTTTGCCCTGAGGGCTCCTTGGGTGGGTTATTTTTTAATTGATTTCAGAGAAGAAGGGAGAGGAAGGGGGTAGGAACATCAACAATGAGAGAGAATTGTTGATTGGCTGCCTCCTGCTCGCCCCATACTGGGGGATCGAGCCCACAACCCGGGCACGTGCCCTGAAAGGGAATCGAACCGTGACCTCCTGGTTCATAGGTTGACACTCAACCACTGAGCCATACCGGCTGGGCTAGAGACCTATTCTTGATAACAGGTCCCTGAGGGTTCTGCCTCCTATGGCTGATGTCAGAGCTGAATCCAGAGTCCAGCCAGCAGATTTCATCCTTCAATCTGAGAGCAGTTTCTCCTTTCTCTCTCTAGTGAGAAACGGGCAGACTCCTGCCCACAGATGTCTGCACTGAACTCGTCTCCTGGCAGGAGAAGCAAAAGGGCATGGATTACAGGAAAAAGTCTGCTGGTTTCATCAGCTTTGTAGGTTAAGTGTGGCAGAAACTGAAGGGAGGAGGGGCAGGCGGGCACTGGACCATACCGAGTTCTTTTTCAACAGGCCGGAAGGGGAGCCCCACCTCGGGAAAATGTATCCAGCCCTGATAAATTTATAAAGTATTTGACCTTTAATCAATCCTAATATTTTCAATCCGCAGAGCCTTCTTAAACGCCTGCAGCCCTGCCCCTGGACCCCTATTCATCACAATTACTGCTCCAACTGTCGGAGGCAGTGCATGAAACGGCGCACGCTGACGTCCAATATTTTATCACTAATAAAGAGAAACATCCCAAGTATTTGCACAGTTTTGATACTTTCCAGCCCTGAGCCCAGGAAAAGGGGGAGCGTGGTGATTTATGCTCACTGCCCAGCCTTGTTAATTGGCCTTCTCGGCTGGAGCCTCGGGATCACTGCTTTTCTTTGTGTCACAGCCAAGGACATGGATGTGCAGAGAGCTTGGAAGGGCGCAGCAGGCGGCCTGGGAGGGGCCTGCAGAGCACACAGTAGGCCCTTGCTGGGCATCTGGTTAGTGGCGGGAAGCACTAAAAAGGACAATTTTTTAAAAATCACGATTTGGCAAGTGTTTCCCTACTCTCGTGGCTTTGTAAACAGAGCCAATGTTTATGAAGAATCTTCTTCCAGTTGTTGCCACGGCTGTGACCCGCCCCCAGTTCCATGTCTCCCCTTACGGCCTCCTTCCCATCCCCAAGCAGTGTCTGCCTTCCAGCCCCATCCCTTCTCAGTTGGAGGCCCTCCCTCTTGGCCTCCCAGCTCAGTTTCCAGCCACAGCATCCAGACGGCCCACAGGCTTCTTCTACATGGCACCCAAACATCTGGATGAGATGTAAACAAAACAAGCAGATGTTTCTTCTTCATTATAGCAGGTGCCTTGGCAGAACCCTGGGCCTCCGGCTATAAGGGAAGAGCTCTCTCTACAGTCCAGGTCCCCAGAAGGGGCGGGGAGGACTTATCAAGGAGCTAGTCACCTGGACCTCACAGAGAGGAGTGAGCAAAGAAAGCCTGACACGCCTAGAAAGTGGTGCGAGCAGTGGATGATGGTGTCTGTGTGAACAGGATGAAAGGTTTGGGACCTGAGGGGCAGGAGGAGGGATGGGAGGAGAGAAGTCTGTTTCGTATTGGTTCAATATGATTTCAAATACACTTGTGTATGACTTAAGTGACGTTGTTTTAATACACTTGCTTATGACAAAGATTTTAAGAAAGTAGTTTTTAGAAGTAGTGTTGTTTTTGAGGTAAGAATGAAGTTAAGTTGTTTGAGGGTGTTATCATCTCATCTGTTGTCCTTGACTAGCACTCAGCAGCCTTGCTGCTAAGGGGCCCCTCTGGGGCTTATGGAAAAGAGCAAGTGGAGAAGCAACTATGGCAAGGGGACAGTTAGACTATAAATACCGAGCGTTTGTGAGGACTATTTGAGAGTTTCCGTTTGGGTAAGGCAACTCGTCCCTGACCTAAAAACTCTCCAAAGACCCGACCACGGTAAGGGCTACTCTCTTATAGGTAGTGGCTGAAAAGCCTCACAGCAGTCCCACCAGGAAGCCAACCTGCCTTCCAACACCAATGTCTTCGTTCCATAGCAACGTGCTCTAGCAACAAGGGGCCTTTGCTCTGGCAGCTGGAAGTCAGGTCTCAGTGGGTCACTCTCTCCCGAGGGCCTGCTGGTATAAAAAGGTACACCTTATATTAAATTTGGACTTCATTCCTTTATCTCCCTTTGCCTGGAATGCAGTGTGATTAATCTGTCATTGGCTTGTGAAATTATTATAATCCCCACAGCGAACCTGTGCTCAGTAAATTGTTGGCAAAGACAAAAATCAGTTTATGGAGCGTAATTTCGCTGCCTCCCCCCAAACAAAAACAAAGCAAGGTCCTAATGCAAACCAGTGAGGAAGAGTTGATGCCAAATCCCTCCTTAATTCCATTGTGACCAAGGGTTTTCTGAGCCTCCACTTTCTACACCACTGCCTTCCAAGACAAGGATTGTCCTGGAAAAAAAAAAAAAGCAAGAAATCTCCTTCTTACCCAGGGGCTAATATGCAAGAAAAGTTGGGCTTGGGGGACTTCGAGGTCCTGAAGCTTGGATGACCTGGGGCACAAAATTCCCCATGTCCTACCCATCTTCTATCTAATAAGAGACCGAGGGGTGGTCACACATGATAATAAAGGGGGATTGAGATATCTGTGAAAGGGATAATTGAAGAAGGACAGGAGGAGAGCACCAAAGGCAAAAGGAGATGAATGGGTGACCACTTGCCTTCTCTTCCCTCCTTCCATTCTCTCTACCCTGATGCTGTCCTCCACTCTCCCAGTCCTGTGAGTAACACGAAACATATACCTTCCGTCCTCTCCCCCACTCCTGTAGTTTCGGGTGTGAGACTGAACACAACTCCCCAATTCTTCCCCCTCGCTTCCAGCCCCCAACACACTCTCATCTTCTCCATTCACCAGCCGGTGTGTGTGACACTACAAATTCTCCCCCAGTCTTCTGTCCCGCTCCTCTGGCCCTGGGTAACACTGACACACGCTCCTGCCCTCTCTCCCACTCCCTTAGTCTCTGCATGTAACAACGAACACACTCCCTCAGTCCTGTCCTCCACTCTCCCATCCTTGGGGTGAGCATTGCTGGTAGACTCCTTCGGTGCTCCCATAACCCCCATGTGTCAAACCAAACACATTCCTCAGAGCTGCCTTCCTTGGGAGCAGCTTTTTTTTACCCGATTATCTTCAGAGATACTTTCAGGACCCTACAGTGATCCTTTGCCCCACAGCCCAGAGCAAACAAACAAGCATTGGTGTGTGTGTGGCGGGGGTGGGGGTGGGGGAATGGAAATTGCAGCGATCGGAAGGTTGCTGCTCCTGTCCATCCACTTATTGGATTTTGTGCTGAAGGCAAATATTTTCCTTTGACCTCAGTGTCCTTAGCTGCGAAACTGAGCTGCAATTCGACATCGGGCTATCTAGTATCCATGGGAAAGGTCTGATTTCCACAAGGAGTTGAGAACTCAACAGCTGGACTGTGGTTAGAACCAGGTGAGGTACAGTTTGGGGAAAGGAGATTACACTCTGTTAGAGAAGTAACTGTTTAGTTGTTTTTCTTGCTTTTTTTTTTTTTAACAGTGTGAGCCAAACAATGCCCCAAGGCTCTGGGTTTTCCAAAGGAAGACCTTCCCCCTGATAACCACAGCAACCCTTGGAAGAAGTGGGGGGCTTCCTTTCCCACTGGGGCAGGGCGAGGGAGTGGGAACCAGACACAAAGAAAACTGAAGTATGGGTGATCCAAACCCCCTCCCCCAAGTAGCCTTGCTTTTTAGCATCATGGGTTAGAAGTTTATAAGAATTCTGGATCCATGGTTTCCTATGGTCGCTTTTACAGATCTTGTTAATTTATTACCCGTGGTTACACTTTGAATGGAAATCATGAAGAAATGGCAAAGGAAACATGAGCTAATTTTTTTCCAGTGACACATTTCACTGCTATTTAAATAGCCGTTTTGCCAAACCAAACACAGCGCTTACAGCCAGCAGTGACACATGAAGGAGATCACTGTGGCCGATCCTGCCTGCGGCATCCAGAACAGGCGAGACTTTCTCTCAGCTTCCCCAAGGGCCGGCCGCCAAGGGGGGTGGACTGGGGGGAGCTGGAGCCTGGGGCACAGCTGGAGTCCTGAGCTGGGGTGGCTGCAGCTCCCCCCCGCCCCCCGCCCTCTCCCAGGCAGGGCTACTTCCCTCTTTCCCGGAGCCCCACTCCTCACCCCCCAAGGGGCCCTGGGGTGACCGTTTCCCAGCAGCCTGGGAGGCCCCCCAGAGCGGGCCACTGCCTGGCTCTCACTGCTGATGATTTGCTCAGGCCTCTAACTGGGAACATTATCAAGTTGTATACAATCAGAGATAGGCTTCGGGGAAAGCCGCGCCAGCTCTGCTGCAGTTCTGTGGTGGCAGTGGCCATGACCGTGACCATGCTTGCACAGGGCGCCTTTGTTGGGCAAACCCAGAGCCTCTGACTTCTCCTCAGCAACACTGGCCCTTGAATCTTTCTTGCTCCCCGGCTCCGGGTCTGTGATGTCACCGAGCATTTATTAACTTTTCAAGAGGCCAATTGAAAGCTGTGGCATTTGGCAAGAGATAAGCCAGGGCCTGAGTGGGTGGAGAGGGGGACAGGCACACAGAGGCTCCGGTGATGGCTGATACAGGGAGGCAGTGGAGGGGAAACCCTTCTTGATACTGGCCTTGTCAGAACCTCCCCGGAACTAAAAATGCAGAGGAACTGGGGACAGTAAAGAAGCACTGGCCCTTGGGGTCCTTGGGTGGTTGTCAACCGCAGGGGCCTGTGAGAGCCCTGTGGCACCGCCATTCTCATGGTGAGCTCCGCTGATGAACAGTATGTGTGTGTATGTGTGTGTGTGTGTGGGGGTGGGGGGGGGCGGGAGTGATTCAAAAGGGGCATGAAATGGGGAGAGAGCATCCTGGAGGGAGGAGCCCTAGCCGGCAGGAACTAGGGTTTCAGCCGCAACCAGGCCCCACTGGATCTTGGAGACCGGTCACCTCTCTATTCCCCGCAGTGGGATGCTCTGTAGCCCCCAGAATCCCCTGCAAGTGTCAAGGTGGGCAGAGCAGAGGGGCTCTGACAGGATTCGGGCAGCAGGCCTGCTGGCATGCCCGGAGAAACCACTCTCTCTCCTCTGCTTTCCAGGGAGAAAAGCCACTTTAGCGAGGCTCCGGAGAGAAGTTAACTGTCGTTTTCCCTTTGCCAAAAAGTATATTAAATTCACTGACCACATTTTTCCAGACCCGAGCGCGGAGGACATTAGATGCAACACACACTGGCTGGGCTCTGGTGCGCTGGGCACCACACATATTTCATTTTGCATTATTAATATTTAAACCGAAGCAGCTGTTCTCCGTACACACGGAGCCCAGACCCGGGACTCCTACGGAGGCTTCTCCCTGCGGCCAGATGTACCAGCTAGGAAGCCCCTCGTTGACCCTCGGGCCTTGGGCCTCCTGCGGTGAATTTCTCCCGCGTCGCCATCCACTGATGTGCAATGACATTTCTGGGCAAGAGGGCTTGGTGGTTTGTTGGCAAGAACAGATTCTGTTGACCCGGTTTAGCTGAGATTCAGCAGGGCTTGCCCTGAGCAGATTTTTGAGAGGCAAAGAATCTCCTTGAAACACCAGCCTCCCTTTCTGGGCCCTCTGCCCCAGGGCTGGGGACCCCGGACTTTCACTCTTCTCCCCAATCTTTCCGCCTTCGGGACTTTTGTACCTTGAAGCCTGGAGTCCTCCTCCTGGGTATTTGCACCTGACAGCCTCATCTCTAAGCCTGGGTGCGGAGACGCTTGCCTAAGTCCAGGGACACTGTGACCAGCACTGGCAACAAAGCCCTTCCCAACCTGCTCAACTCTTTCTCCCCCAGGACCCTCAACGCCAGTGCCTGCGGCTGCTCTGTTTCCCAGACACACCTAACACTGTCCTTCCATAGACCCCCTGCTACTTCTACCTGCCTCTGAAGTCCCAGGGTAACAGTCAGCTCCTCTCTGCCACCACCCCCACCCCCAGGAGGAACTAACTACTTACTCCTCTCTCCTCCATAGCCATGTATGTCCCCCTCTATTTTGGCTTAGATCACATGATATTGTAAACTTTTCTTTGTATACTTATAAAAACTAGTAGTTATTGAGTGCTTTCTATGGATATGATGCCTTAGGTCAAATGATACATTCTATAATTCTCACAATAACCTTATGAGATGGGTTCTATAATGGTTAAATGAAGAGATCCCGGAGGCAGAGCCTTATAGAGCCTGTATACATACAACACATTGTCATCATCATTGCAATCAAAGAACCCTAGTGTGTGTGTGTTCATGTCATCATGTGTACGTCTACAAGATGGCAAGAGCGGGGTTGTTAGATGGTTCTGCAAATCACTTCTTAATCCTTACGCTTCCATGCACTATAACTCCTTCCTCCTCACACCCACCCAGTTTACAGATGACAAAACTGAGACTGAGAGGTGGTGAGTAGCTTGCCCAAGGTTCCATAACAAGGAGTATCTGTTTCCCTCAGAGACCACAAGCTCCTCAAAGAAGGAGTCATGGTCTTGTGCATCCGAAGTTTGCCTAACACGCTGTCCCAGTACAGGTGCTAAACACATGTTTGTTGTGATAAAATTAAATAAGGCAGCAGGAAGGTTTGCCCAAGCAGGACTGTAGGAACACCCCAGCATCCCCATTTCTTTAGGTGACCGCCCCAGCTCTAGCTCCCAGGGAGTGGGGAGTAAAAACGTTGTAGTAAGCCAGAGCAGGGTTCAAATTCCAGTTCCACCTGAATTTAAAGTAGCCGTGTCTCCATTTGCCCATTTCCAAATTGGTGAAAATAATAATATCTACCTTTTGTAATCTTTTTTTAAAAATATATTTTATTGATTTTTTACAGAGAGGAAGGGAGAGGGATAGAGAGTTAGAAACATCGATGAGAGAGAAACATCGACCAGCTGCCTCCTGCACACCTCCCACTGGGGATGTGCCCACAACCAAGGTACATGCCTTTGACCGGAATCGAACCTGGGACCCTTCAGTCCACAGGCCGACGCTCTATCCACTGAGCCAAACCGGTTAGGGCTACCTTTTGTAATCTTTACCACAATCAATTCCGTCCTGCCTGGGCTGGGTGTGAGGAGGAAGGAGTTATAGTGCATGGAAGCGTAAGGATTAAGAAGTGATTTGCAGAACCATCTAACAACCCCGCTCTTGCCATCTTGTAGACGTACACATGATGACATGAACACACACACACTAGGGTTCTTTGATTGCAATGATGATGACAATGTGTTGTATGTATACAGGCTCCATAAGGCTCTGCCTCCGGGATCTCTTCATTTAACCACCACAATTTTTATAAGGCGAATGTTACTATTATGATCCTGTTGCAGACATCTAGTGCTGTGTCACAGCCTCCCCAAAACTTAGTGACTTAAAACAAGAACATTTCTCTCGCTCACAAATCTGCAGTATGGGCAGGGCTCAGTGGGGAAGCCCTTCCTCTCGTCTGTATCCGGCACCAGCTGAGGCAGCTTGGAGACCAGGGGCCAGAATCATCTGCAGGTTCTCACTCATCGGTCGGGCCCTGATGCTGGCTGTCCTCTGAGACCTCAGCTGGGATTCCCAGCCACAACCTTACACATGCCCAGCCACCTGCCCTGGGCTTCCTCACAGCATAGTGGCTGAGCTCCAATGTGTGTGTGTGTTGGGGGGGGGGGGGGGGCTGCCAGCCAGTGGAAGCCATACTTGCTATGACAGCCTAGGAAGTCCACGTGTCACTTCTGACACATTCGGTTTGTTGAGACAGTCACTTTGTTGCCCAGGTTCAAGGCGAAGGGACATGGACTCTGCCTCCCAATGGGAAGTGGCAAGGTTCCGGAAGAGCACTGGGGATGGAAATAGTGCCTCAGCCTTATTCGGAAAATGCACAAAGTCCCAGGTTACAGAGGTGAACGCTGAGGCGAGGAGGCCCCCTGACCTGTGTGAGAGCAGAGCGCCCATGAGTGGCAGAACCAGGGCTCAGGCTCAGGCCTTCTGTCTCCAAACCCTGCCTTTTCCCACTGAAAGATGTGCCTTCCAATCGCATCTGCCAGGGCTTCAGAAAGGCCCAGCCTACCCCCCATAATGGTTTTGTGTGTGGGGTTTTTTCAGTTAGCTTGCCCCTTCACACACACACACACACACACACACACACACACACAGCCACCGCCAAACGTCCTTCCAGCAGTCCCTTCCCCCGGGCCTGGTGAGGGGAAGTCCTCCTGAGTGGACCAGACCCCACTTGCTGCCTCACTGCCAAGCCAAGCTGAGCTGGGGACCCAGGGCGGCCAGGAGCCAGAGCTGGGGAGTCCTGATGCTCATGGGTCACTTTGTTGCCCAGGTTCAAGGCGAAGGGACATGGACTCTGCCTCCCAATGGGAAGTGGCAAGGTTCCGGAAGAGCACTGGGGATGGAAATAGTGCCTCAGCCTTATTCAGAAAATGCACAAAGTCCCAGGTTACAGAGGTGAACGCTGAGGCGAGGAGGCCCCCTGACCTGTGTGAGAGCAGAGCGCCCATGAGTGGCAGAACCAGGACTCAGGCTCAGGTCTTCAGTCTCCAAACCCTGCCTTTTCCCACTGAACGATGTGCCTTCCAATCCCATCTGCCAGGGCTTCAGAAAGGCCCAGCCCTCCCCCCATAATGGTTTGTGTGTGGGGGTTTTTCAGTTAGCTTGCCCCCCCCTACACACACACACAGCCACAGCCAAACGTCCTTCCAGCAGTCCCTTCCCCCGGACCTGGTGAGGGGAAGTCCTCCTGAGTGGACCAGACCCCGCCAAACGTCCTTCCAGCAGTCCCTTCCCCCGGGCCTGGTGAGGGGAAGTCCTCCTGAGTGGACCAGACCCCACTTGCTGCCTCACTGCCAAGCCAAGCTGAGCTGGGGACCCAGGGCGGCCAGGAGCCAGAGCTGGGGAGTCCTGATGCTCATGGG